AAGAATGTTCACAATTAACATTACAATCAAGTAGAAATATATCATTTTCATTTTACAATATAAGTTTGTTATACTAATACTCATATAACTCACAGTATATGTACATTTTTATATAAAATATCTTAGAAAATGAATCTGACATAAGATAAGAGGTCAGTATAATAAAATATTACGTGTATACTATAGTTTTTAGTTATACAAAACAAAAGGTACAACATATTAAATTAAAAAAACATAATCAACAAATGCTTGTACCAATTTTATAATATAAAAATGTTCACAATTAACATTACAATCAAATAGAAATATTTCATTTTCACTTTACAATATAAGTTTGTTACTAATTCTCATATGACTCACAGTATATATATATATATATATACATTTTAATCTAAAATATCGTAGAGAAAATGAATCTGACATAAGATAAGAGATCAGTATAATAAAGTATTACGTGTATACTACACTTATTAGTTTTATAAATCAATAGATACAACTTTTTCAATTCAGAAAACATAGAACAAAACACATGTATCAATTTTATAATATAAGAATGTTCACAATTAACATTACAATCAAATAGAAATATTTCATTTTCACTTTACAATATAATTTTGTTACTAATTCTCATATGACTCACAGTATATGTACATTTTTATATAAAATATCTTAGAAAATGAATCTGACATAAGATAAGAGATCAGTATAATAATAGAGTATTATACTTATAGTATAGTTGTTAGTTCTCTGTTACATGATAAAACATTAAAGGTACATACATAAGAATCAAAATAAAACATAATAAAAGTTTGAAATTCGATTTGTTTTATACTTGGTCGAATAAAGCATCGGTGTCTGCTTGATCTATAGGTATACTCTAGAAGTTAGTTAGTAAGAGTGAGATAGAATGAGTACAGGAAATATATTGCCAAGTCGGCTCTCAAAAGAGAAGCTTCGCGTAGGCGAGTCGTCGGCACTCTCTCGTACCTTGTGAATCGTTCTTTAAAAAAAAAAAAATAAAAAGAAATCAAATGAAAAATGAAAAAAAAAAAAAAGAAAACGAAAAAAAAATAAGAAAGTATAAAGTATCCAAGACTTATTAGGTACCGACATACCATTCGCGATTCGAGAACCCCTATTAATACGAAAGTAGACTTCGATTTACCTGGAAATCTATCCATGTGTGTTTTTCACATACATATATATATATATTACATGTATTAGGATTTTATATATATATATATATATTTAACGTATAATTTTATACCGAATTTTCTCGTTAATTGATTAGAAATATATAGTTTTGTATATTATTGTATAAATTTTATTTTAACATAATTTACTCTAATAGAATGATGATAATAATAATAATAATGTATAGGCAATTAAAAAGAACGATTATAATTGCCTGATAAATTTTCTCTTAATGACTTCTCTCTCTCTCTCTCTCTGAAATTGCATCGTATTCCTGCAGATTGATTAATCGTTTCCAAGAGTTAAATCTCGCCCCATGTTGAACAACAACAGAAAAAAAAGAAATAATAATAATAAAGACAATGGAGAGTAATTTCCAAGTAAGAGGTTTATTACGCGCGATCGTTATCAATTTCTTTTCATTCCTTTTCTTTTTTTTTTCTTAATTCCATCAACGCATACGAGGAAAGGGGAGAAAATCAATGGAATTATTTACAATTGATGAGAACAATAATTATTCATATAAGTGTGTTCCTTTTCCTTTATTTTTTTTCTATTTTTTATTTATTTTTTTATCGTTAAAATATTTCGTTTTATAATTTGTTGAGAAAAGAAGGGGAAAATTTATCTTGAGAAATTGATATATTAAAACATATATATATATATATATGTGTGTGTTTCTTCGTAGATAGGAGATCGTAAACGATCTAGAACGTTCGGTTAGCTCGTATGTTCGAATACTTAAGACGACAGAAGTATGTTATTACATTGGGTGAAATCGAGCGATTGCAGAGTTGGTCATCGAGTATTAAAGTTATCCGTTCGCACGAGTAAGAATTATCTCGTAGTATTTATTTAACGTTTATATTATCTGATCTAGTACGTGTACTAACGTGTATACATGTATAAAACAAATATATGTAGGTGAGATTGGAATTCGCGTTGAAAATATATTTTTTAAAACAACTGACTCTCTTGTTTTAACAGAAATGAATTTCTATTTAAAATGGAACACACATTCAAGTTCGCACGGTATTAAATGCTTTCGAAATTTACGTTTATAAATAATCGCGATGTATTGTATCGTATAATCCGCGAGTACTATAATAAATGATAATATTCTGGAATGAATAAATTACCACTATTATTTATGACAAACATTAGAAATTGCTAATACGATTTGTAATCTCGTGAGAAAGAATTTTCATCTATGTTTTTTCTTTCTTTTCATCTCTTTTTATATTATTTATATTATTTCATATTTGACGGTAATCATTGAACGATTTTTTCTTAAGATACGATAAAACAGAGATCTACCATTAAGTTTCAGTTCGATTATCGATAAGACAGGATTCTATGGTTATTATGTTTTATCAAAAAATATAAAAAGATATAGAAACTCACAAGACACCTATTTTACCTGTCCAGTTTCAATTTTGTTACCACTGGTGGTTCCGGTGAAACTTGAAACTGGACAGGTAAAAAAGGGATCTTGTGAGTTTCTATATACTTCTGTATTTTTTGGTTTTACTAACCCTTGGTAATAAAAGTCTTATCGACGTTAGAACTCGCTGGATCGTTTAATTATTAATGAAAATCTTTAATTTGTTAATCGGACAAAGAATAAATAATAATTAAATCAAATAATAATATAACTTAATAAAATTTTATTGATTTATCGATTTCCTGATAATGGTACGATATTGAGAGTTTTTCCATCCTCATTTTCCTGCAGAGTTAGTCCATTTTCTTTTAGGAAAATATTTTCCATCACACCAATCTTCGTAAAAGTACTAATATGTTTTTGATTTTCTACATTATCTTCGCACAAATTACGAATCGCTAAGATCGTCCACTGCATTATTACTGTTTCAATAAATAATCAAATTTAAGAAAAATATAAAATTATTGGATCGAATATAAGCATAAGGGAAAAAGAAACGGTCAAATTAATTAATAATTATCAAAAGGATACATGGATTTCTAGCGTCGATATTACAACAATCAAATAGTAAAGGAATAGTATCTGTTTCGCGTGCCTAAAATTTAAATCATAAACATTATTATCATCTATAGAAGATACCTAATTTATCGACATTATATATTAACCCCTTAGATACATTTGATGTCTGAGACACGTCATTCACTTTTTTCCCTTAGAAGTGGATGACGTGTTTAAGACGTCAAACCAAAGAAACTCTTGGGTACATTTGATGTCTTAGACGTCATGATTATTAAACGTCTTTGACGTCATTACTTGTTTTCCCTCGGAGCGGATAATGTGTCTACAATGCTGTTCATTACATTGTAGCTTGTATCAGTCATTATATCCGTCCACATGCAAATATTTTCTCAAATAAATCTGTACCCAAGGAGTTAAAAATTAACAAAGTAAAAAAGACAATTTTTCTCTAAGATTACTTACAATATCTTGACATTGTTTATTCTTATACGACATGTTCCCAATGACTCTTATCAAACCCGCTTTAAAACCATAAGCAGGATGACGTTCCAAATCATTTTCTTTATTTTGCGTAGATGGTGCAACTTCGCTCAATTTTTGTATCAATCTAAAATTGTTATCTGGTTCTCTGGCATACATATGCATAGATTTCAACAAGTCTTAGGAGAAAAATAATAATTAGTTTATTAAATTTTTAGATTAAAATTATATATATATATATATATCAATACTTACAACAACAATTTATAAGAAGACTTCTATTTTCTTGAATAGCATAAAGTATATCCGTAGCTTCAGATGTAAGCACTCCCAATATATCAAGAAGAATAACTACTTCCATTGGCTCGAAATTATTATCTAAATACGTGTCTTTTGTTTTCAGTATAAGATCGCTCCTTTTGCAAAAACGATCAGACAAATATTTATTAAGCTTTCGACAAAAAGTAAAGCTTGTGTCATTTTTCTTCTTTTTATAAATAACATCTTTAGCTTCTTCGTGAATTATTTGAAGTAAATTCAACTTATTTTCCATGTCAATATCTTCGTAGACGCTTTGAAATATATTTGCTTGATTCAACAGACATAACAATGCTTCCTTCGCACATTCTAAATCTGTGATTCTTATTAACAGTTGAGAACACACATAGCTGTTATCCTTCCATATAAAGTTGTCTCGGTCAAATATTTTCAGTGTATTATGTACAAACATACAAGCTACTTTGACTACAGACATATCTTCCAAAGATATGCATTTTCTGTAAAGATCATTTACATTTTGTTAGAAAAGATTACAAATTTCTAATATTCTTTTAAAGAAGAAGAAGAAGAAGAAGAATTAGAATAATTACATGAGAGCATTTTGAAACGTTGCGTTGATGAAATGATTCTTTATGCTTTTACATCGCATCGAATTAATATCATCGCAAGCAAACGAATAAAGATTGCATAAAAATTGGATACATAATCTTAATATTTCTATTCGTTCTGCCGACAATGCAATGTTACAGTTTAAAATAATATAATTTATTGTCCACTCTGCAACACCGTTGTATGGGAAATAGGTGTTTGTTTCTTCTTGCAATTGTTGTGTACATTTAGATGCATATTCTTCGGCTAATTTAGCATACAATTTTCTACAATATTTTCCATTATCATCGTTATTCTCGTTATCATAATCTCCATGAATGTACGTATTTAGGCACGAATTACCCATGCTTTTTAGCAGTATAATTTTAACCTTATCAGGTGTATCGTCATTCTCGCTTACAATTAATTCAGCTACTTTTACTAAGACTTTGTATAGTTGGCTGGAAAATAAAAATGTTTTTGTAAAATTATACGTTTTAAAATAAACGTATAAAATCATAAATAATTATATATATATATATATATACATATATATATATATATATAAAAAAATTACTTAGGTTTTGTAATACCAAAAACCATAGGATTAAGATTCTGGTATAAATCATTCCAACGACGTGTAACCAAGATCGTATTTAATATATTAAACACTTTATTATTATCCATTATTAAATCCATCGTTCGTCGAAATATTTGTATATGTGTTTCAAACAAATATAGTGTATGTATATGTCTATGGTATGTTATGTCTAATACCTATGTAGGTTAATCGCAACAATGCTTTACAAAGACTGTAGATCTAATTGCGTAATAAGGTTAGGTTTGTTAACAGTGCAATTAAGACTTTAGCTGATAGAGTTTAATATCTATCTTCAAAAATACAAAAATTAAAGGAATAAAGAAGAAAAACTAATATAATTATTTAATTTACATAAAAAAAAAAATAATTATTATTTTGCAAAAGCACAATGTTCAGTTTTTTCCATACACTAGTGCATGTTATCATTAATAAAAAGTTTTTAAAGGTTATGTGCACGAAGTAAATAATTAGGTCAACCGCAGTGCAGGTTTTAATGGAGAGATGCAGATACGGAAATATATTGCAACAAATAATAGTGTTTTTGACAAAAAAAATTTATATAATAGATCGAACTAATACTAATACATGTAAATATGTAAATAGTATCGGTAGGCGGAGCAATAACCACACCACTTATAGTTGACCAATAAAAAGTGAGTTTGCGTATCTAAGATCACGCGTCATCGCATACACGTTACATCTCTCATCGGTCATATGTAGTGTTTTTTCTTATCCATTCAAAAGATAACGAAGATATAAGCTTCATGTAAAAGATAATCAGTCAGTGTTTCATGAGAACAGTTGTAGTTCGTACGTTTTTAAGAAGATCTTTGTAATTTTCAGATTATTACCATTATTAGACGAATAGATAAAATTTGTACTTTTTCAAATAGTGAATTATTCTTAAGTGTTGTATATACATAATTTTAAAATATTGAGAAAGAAAAAGAAACGCAGTGCCTTATATTAGCAACATTGTCTTCCTTATTCTTATTATTGTTATAATAATTAGTTAATGAAAGGAAATTCTAAATAAATTAGACAAAATGAATTTATCTTTCGCTGGTTGTGGTTTCCTTAGTATTTACCATGTTGGCGTAGTTGTATGCTTTAAAAAATATGCACCGCATTTGTTGATGGACAAAATTAGTGGAGCATCAGCTGGTGCTATCGCTGCCTGTTGTCTTCTTTGTGACTTACCCCTCGGTGAGTGAACTCATTGTTTATGTATTTAATAGATATTGAATATCTTCAATCGTTATATACTTTATACTATTGAGCAATTCATTCGCTTAGAAATATCTTTGTTATATGTTCGCTTAGGTTTAAGACAACAAGAAGTTGTCTCTTTATTATAACACCTTCCAAAGTAATTTACATATATCTATTGATTTTACTTAAATAATTTACAATCCATAGTTATGTATAGTAATGCAATCACATAAGGTTCATGTACATATTTATTTTATACAAAATATCATGATTATTAATAAGAATGTGCAATCAAAAGAGTCCATCTAATCAGATCAGTACGAGTAAATGTATTAGCGTCAATAAAATTTGAAACAGAGTAATTTTAACACGTTGATTGTTATATATAAATCAAACATGTTTTAATTCATCGCAGTTTAATCTTATTTTAAAGCGTCATTATTTTTTGTAGAATAAATTCATCTAATGAAATGATCTAAAAGGCTAATGCATCATTTGTTCTTTATTCGGTTTGATTCGTCTCAACACTTTCATATCTTTATCGTTGCAATGTTTCATTATTCATCGCTCATCTGTAAATTTAATAAACTTGACCACCGTATAGATATCTAATAAGTAGGTCGCATCTCATTCTTAGAAATAGAATCATCAGAAGTAGTAGCAAGACCATTTATCAATAATATTGTTTTCAATATGAAAATTGTGATTATGGATAAATGTTGCAAAAGACAGTGACATCGATACTTGTATGTAAACATAAAAAAAGGGAGAATAACAATAAATCCTATCGATATTATTATTTAATAAGAATTATATACATATATATATCAAAGTATATGCATATTTATCAACGAATAATTACTTATTAGATAATTTGGATCTTTTGAAAATCTTCAGTGCAATGTAAGATAAAATTTGATGATAGGATATCTAATTCTTTTATAATCTACTTCTAATTTTTCACATTGCTTAACCTCATGGCATAATAGAGATTAAATATATCTACTTTAGATATCTAAAGTTTCTTGACCTCTAATTCTATTCGTTAATTTAATGAGAAAATTATATAATAATCATTTTTGGTATAGAATAACCATACATATTTTAAATGAAAAATAAATCAATCTTTGTACGCTTTTTAGTCTTTATTTATTAAAATTAATATATAAATTTATAATATTTAACAAATAATAAGGAAAATAAAACTAAGCAAATTATATACGTATATTCTTTTACTCTGATTAATTTTATTGTTGACGTATGTAATTAATCTTATCTCTTTGTAGCACTTGATCTTTGTTCAATTTTATCGATGATCTTTTTAATCTTATTTAAAATTGAAAATCTAACACAAACGTGTATAAATATTGTGTATATCCTTTTATTACGAAATTTCAAAAGTTGTAAAAATTAAATTGAAAATATTTACAAGAAAAATTTGCAAATATATATATATTTATATAATGTTTATCTTATTAAACTTCTTTAATATGCATAATTTCATCTGATAAAAAGAAAAAAAAGAAAAAAAAAATAAGAAAGAGAGATACGTATATATAATTGGCTAATATGAATAAATAATTACACACCACATTGGCTAATATGAATAAATAATTACAAAACCACGAGTTGAATTACGTCATTCTAAAGTGATTTCATAAATAAAAAACAACAAGCGTTGTTTACACATGATTATTTGAATAACAATTCGACTTATAATTCAATATGATTCTTTCTTCGTACATACAAATTGTTCAAAAATATAAATTATTATTATTTTTATATCTATAATATAGATGATTATTATAACAATTAATCCCTTTGTTATTAGACATCTTTGACGTCATTCACTTGTTTTCCCTAGGAACGGATGATGTGTCTAAAATGTTATTTGAAGTTTGACACAATTCTGTTCATTTCATTATAGCTTGTATTAGTCATAATAGAAGAGGCAATTACAATATTTCGGTCAACATTATTTGCGATACACTGCCCCATTATGCCAAAAACAAGGAATATATATATATCCACATGCAAATATTTTCTCAAATAAATTCGTACCCAAGGGGTTAAAGTCTAAAGAACATAATATAAAAATAATACATTCTGTCATGAGATTTTAAGATATTTATTTGAATTATCTTATTAATATGGATTATATATATACATATACATACGTATTATCTGTCACATGTGTTCTAATAATTATTTCTATAAAAATATGGATATATTCTAGACGAAAAATACAAAAGTAGAGGAAATAATGTGTATAAAGTAAAAAGTAACAAATGATCCTTCCACCACAATTGCATATTGTCATTCCTATACTACTACGTCTTCAAGATTTTCCTGTATGAAAGTTTTTATAAAAAAGAAGAAGAAAAAATACAGTAATCTATTAACCCCATCGAGTGCTAAATACTCTTGACCAAAACGCTTCACAGGGACGTAATACTTTATTACTAGCATAAGTTTCATTGAATGATTATTATACTCTAGGCACACAGTTAATAATAAATTATAATCTTTGTTTTTCTTTTTTTTTCCAAATTAAATAACACAAGGAAGTTTTATTCGAGAATAATTTTGATCAATAAAACTGAAAATAATTATTAATGATACACAAACTAACATGAAATTCTTTGTATTCGTATTGACAAACACATATATACGCATTTGTAGTCCATACTTGACAACTTTTATTTAACGCATATGTGTGACACACATTCAAAGGGTTAATAGAAATTATATATAATAATTTTTTTATTTTTAATTACATAATTAAATGTATCGGTTTATGTATCAATGTATCAAAAGGAAAATCTTTAATATATACAGTAGGTGATCGGTTAATAAACATAATTCATTCAATGCATGAACTGTTTGTTAATCAATCATCTACTATATGTATATACATATACAAATGTAAATAATATATAATTGTATTCTAAATTCATAAATATATTCATACGTAAGAGATTATTAAATTGTACATATCTTTTTGAAGAAGAAACAATGCGATGAGACTGATTATAACATTTCTTAATATAAATACTGGAAAAAAACCGATTTATTTATCATAAATATAAATAATAAATAATGTTTTTTTCATTGTCGTCGTCGTCATCGTCATCATCATCATCATCATCATCATCTGTTTACTTATAACGAATACAATACTCTCTTTGTGCATTATATATTGTAAATATTATTATATAATTTATAAATTCTAGCATATACCTATCTATATATCGTACTTATATCTTAAGAAGATAAAAACAAATGTTCAACCAATTTGCCGATTGAATGATGCTAAAATTTGTAAAAAAAAAAAAAAAAGAATCAAACAAAAAGGAAAAAAAAAAGAAAGATTGATAGATATTTATAAATTATACGATGTGAATAATAAACACAAAATGTTTCCGAGAGTCTTCAATATTCCTTCAATAATAATCTTCCTCTATATAAAAATATGCGTTTATACGAATATAATTTCCGAAGAAAAGAACATTTCTAATTATACGTTTGATTTTATTTTTGTGTCTGTGAACCCTTTCGTTACCATGTACGAATCTAAATGACCTAATGACTCATATAGGGGTTGTAAATCATGCAATGATCCGCATTTACGAACAAATTTAAATGAAACGATAAATGCGTGCCGTAACGAAAGGGTTAACACATCTGCTAAAATTAATATTAATATATTATTATTATTATTATTATTATAATTATTAGTATTCTAAATATATTAGACAAAATATAATTATAATACATCGATCATCTTAATTTTGTATATATAGTATAATAACATAACTCATCGATTTAATTTAATTATGATTATTATAAAAACTCTGTTAAATAGCACGCAGACCCAGCTGTATGTGATCACAGATAATTCTTTGTAACATCATATAAATAGGCATCTGTTTTAAGGAATGTACATTTTAATATGTTATATAATAATAATAATAATAATAAAAAAAAAAAAAGAATTAATTCAAAACCATGAAATAATTAAATTAATTCAATTGATATTGAAAATAAAACTTACAACGTATAAGAGAAATAATATATGGCAAGGCAAGCACCGCGTGTAATGTAACTATTATCTTAGAAAAAAAAAAAAAAAAAAAAAAAAA